AGTGCTAAAAGCATTGAGGAGAAGTTCTGCAAAGTCAAATCCTCCACAGTGGAAGCTTTAGAGAGCAGAACAGCTATTTCTCGACAAAAATTGATCCAAAAAGGTGGATCAGCATCTGACCAGAGTTTGGAGTTATATAAGAAACCACCTCTTTCATTCAGGCTCCCTAAAACAAAACTACAACCCTGCCATCACAAACTTCATTCCAGGTTGCTGGACACATTGTTGGACTACTTCTAGACATCCAACACTTATCAAGACCTGACTCTTCCCTATTCTGAGCTCTAAGAGCAGTATGAAAATTTCTCCACCTCTTTTGTACCCTTCTGTGCTGGTTTGGATAACTGATTTGGTCCAAAGCAGCAGGGAATTAATCTCTTCACACTGGCATCAAAAGAGAAAGGTGACTTTCCAACCCAGACTTCAGCAGCCACCTGTCAGCAAATCTGTCAGAGGCACGTGCTGTTTACTGCATTTTGAACAAGTACTCTTACCCTGCACTGTGCAAATGGAACTTTATCTTTCCACTCGAGGGATGTCACTTCCTTATGGAATGTGCCACCAACAGTTTCACTGCCCATGACCCTGTGGGGCAAATGCCTTCACCAGGGAGCAGCTCCTGAGGCTGAGCAAAACCAGCACGGTGGTCACAGTCCTGGTTATCATCAGGCAAACTGGGTGCACCCTTCAGATGAAAACATGGGGCACTCCAATTACTGCCAGAGGCCAAGGTCACATTCTGCCCACAATAATACTGTTTGAAAGACAATAGAAACCTGAGTTCAAGTAATTAAAGTAATTATTTTAATAATTAAAGTTCAAGTAATTAAAACACCTGAAGATGAAAGGATCTCCAATATGTTTCAAAGCAGTGATCTTTGTCTGACTGAACCAATTCCAAGACATTTTTCAGCTGCCTGTCTCCCTATGTGTGGGTGAAGTTTCCCATTAGAAAACAGAATGAATTTCAGTCCTGAGATTAAAACACATCCTGAGACTGCAATTTCACATTACAAATGCTTCGCTCTGAATGCTGTTGTGGAGTTCCTAGCTGGGAAAAGAAGGGGCTGTGTGATTGAGGAGAGAAAGTGTGGGCATCTTGCTTTCAATGAGCCACTCAGATTCATTTTGAGTTCATACAATCCAAACTTAACTTTTCATAACCAGTCCCATATCACTTCAGAACGGCCCTGAAATGTGGCACAAAGCTTCTAGATTCAATCAACCACCAGAAACTGAATGTGCATTCACTGCCTTAGCTTCCTATCCTCAAGCAGCCACTATTTCAGGAAAATTAGGATACCCTTCTCTGCCACACAGTAGAAACACTGTGCAGTTATAAACAAGGTAATAATGCAGAGATGATGGAGTTGGACACCACGGAGGAGATTAGCTCTAGTGCTAGTGACAAAAATAATATGCATAAAATATTGCTGTGTTGCAACACAAAATCCCTGCAAAAAGCAAGCTATATTCTGGCACATCAGTGAAAAAGCACTCACAGTCAGTGCTTAGGTTTGGGTTTTTATGATGCTGAACAATAACATAATTTGCTTTCATTACCATTCATTGCAGTGTTATTGCCCTAATTTTCACAGAAAATCTGGGGATGAACAGAATACATACATTGCCTGACTCAGTCCCCCCTTACTTTCTGATACTTCTCTCTCTTTTAAGCCCTAAAAAAACATCTGCAGTCATTTACTGTATAGTCACAATTTGTCACTTACTGCTGTGACAATAAACAGTTCTTATCCTCCACAGATCCAGTTTGCTGTGGTAGCATTCATTTTCACAAGAAGGATTTCTGAACTGCATCAATATGAGAATCTCCCAAGAAAAGACACCTGCAAATCTTCCAAAGCTTATGATTCTCCTTGATGAAACAGTTGCTCAGGAACACAGCAGGATGAGCCATCCTGTGCCTTTTGAGATTTCTCATCACAATGTTTCAGATCTCAAGGAAAATTGAAATTTATGCAAGAAGTTTTATTGTTCCTTTTCCAGCTCTAAATAAGACAGCACACACACGGGAGGGGAAAAAAAATCAAACCCAAGAAACCAATAACTGAATTTTGGTAGATGTAATTCCAAGGCCTGAACCTCTGAGTCAAGGCAAATGAAGCTGGATTCAGTTTCTATTATTGAAGATACCATCAAAAAATTTGCTTTACAATTAGATCCCACAGGGAAGTTGAAGATTAGGAGTTTAGGACTATCTTTCTGTTGGTATATCATTCAATTTATGATGTAACCAATCCTAGCAAATATTTGCCATTAAAGATTATATTAGTTGTTCCAGAAGTCACATTAACAGAACCAGTTCTTAATGAGGCTCACTACAACTTATGAATTTCACTATCATTTGCTATACTTAAAGTTTGCCCACAAAGAACAAGATTTTAGCATCAGGTAATGCCACCTGCTTGGAAAAGACACAGATTATGCAGCATCACGTTTTCCTCTTCTCCTTTCTTTCAATCTCATTTTACATGATTAATCAGATGCACAATGCCCAGCTCTCTACAAACTGCAAAGCAAAGGCATTGCTAACATAAAAAGCAACTTTTGCATAATCAGGTAAGATTTAGCATGCCATTCATCTTCATTATACAGCTGATAAGCAATTCCCAAGTTGCATGGTTTACTTCTCCTGCATGCTGATTGGTGACTATAAAAATGAACATGTTTTGGAGCATCCCAGTATGTTGATATAAATAAACAAGAGCTGAAATATTAAAAGGATGATATATAACTATTTGTGTACCCTGGAAGGATATATATGTCAGAAGCAGCAGAAGTTTTCCTTTTCTTTACCAAATATACCTTTGTTTGTACTTCCCCTCGCCTATACATGGAGCAGTTCATCTGACTAATAGATGTACATCAAAAGATGAAGCATGTACAGACAAGTGTCACATACTTCCTAGAAAGATGTGGGGAAAAAATAGCAAAATTCTCCATAAATGTCTACAGAAAGAGAAGAGGCAACTTCAATACCTTGAAACCTCTTGACCCCAACTCCTCTCCAAAGTCTGTCTCAAGGGCTCAGAGGGAAGAATAAAACTAAATATTTCTGCTAAACAGAACCCTACATATTAATGATTATGGAATCATTATTCCATTTAATGCTACAACATCTGCCCTAGATATAGCCAACATAAAGTTGGATATTGAAAACTCAAGAAAAACCAGAGTAATATTCAGTGTAGTGGCACAGCAGAGGCAGAATTGATCATTTCTGGCTGTACATGTAACTTTGTGGAAAGTATCACAAAATTATTTCATTTGATCATACATCTAATCTTTATAACGATAATTTATACTCAAACATACAATATATAAATAGCATTTCCAAGACTATAATTAAAAAAAAAAAAACAATCCAAAGTACCACTAAGAAGCAATTCCTTTTATCAGCTTCAGTAAATACTCCTTTATCAGGCTGTGAAATATTTACTACTGATGGCTGCTGGTTCTGGGGCTCTCTACAATCACCCCCAAAAAGATTTTGTGAAAGAAACAGAGCTGTGTTTAAAAAAAAACCAATTTTTGTTTTCAGTGTATCAATATTGATGAATTAATATTTTTCTCTTAACTCACTCAATACTGAATTACAAGATTCTCCTGATCAAAATGCTTCTCTCACAGCCCCTGTGAACATTTATTTTATCTCTCCAGAGACCTGTTACCACTTTCCCAAGCTTTCCTTCCTGAGCTTTATTCTTCTACAAACTTTGGAATTTAGCCTGAGGAACTAGACAAATTTGGATGCCCTCACTCTTTTCTCAGTGGCTTTGTGCCTGTAAGTATGTGCTCCAGATAGAGGTTATTTTTAACCTCAATTAGTTTGCTGTATTAGCACAAACAAGGATGTGACATAAGGTTGAATAAGCAGACAAGTGCAGGGAAAATTCATAAACTAATATTGCTCAAAATAAATGAAGGAAAAATAAAAGAGGGTGGTGTATATATGTATACACACACTCTTCATACACTTATCCTGTCATTCTCCTGCACTACCTTTCCTCCTTCCCAGGGTAATTTTCTGATCCAGTCCCTGGCTCGGGGATTAACAAAAGGATCATAAAGCTGCACAAGTACAGGTAAACACAGAGCAGGATTTCCACGCACTTTAAACATCAAAACAGGTTTTCATCCTTCACCGATACTTCTTAATCAAGGGCTGTATTTATCTGTGTTGTCAAGCCATAGTGTATCTATTAAGTTTGCTTGCTAGAACACTCTCATATTAACAGTTGCTTATTTTTACTTTGCTTTCTTCCTTAATAGAAGTACAGCCCATCAAATTTGCCAGACAGATCATTAGAATGAAATAACACACACAATGTTTTTGAGAAATATTTTTTCCTAGTTTCGCTTTCTTCCCACAGCAGCATTTGTTCTGCCACTCCCCTTCTGAAGGATGGCAGATGTCTGGGACCATGCAAGTCAGCTTCCTAGTGGAAGAGAAACCAGTGACGTCAAGTCTGGGTATAATTTAAGCGTAACTTGTTCCATTTATGCAGGGTCTGGGTTCAAGATTTGACAAAGAAATTACCCAATTGCCTCTGGGCAATCTCTTCCTTCAATAACAAGCCCAGCAGAAGTGGGCAGTGCTCAAAGATCAGCTCTGCCTCAAGAATTGAGTTTAATCAGACCCCTGGGTAGAAAGCAAACTCTCCTGCTGCTCTCACAGTCCGTCTCCAAAAGCCGTGTCTCTACAGTGAGACTTGCATAGCCAACGCTTCCAGCAGCACAGCACGTCTTCCCAGGACTCAACATATGCTCGTGGGCTAAGGAAAAATCCTCCTTGAAGGCTGCCTGTAACTACCATCTGTTGCCACCTACACACCCTGTTCCTCACCACCAACAGAGGCAGCCCCTACAGGTCAGGTTTGAGGTTTGTTGTGCTAGACTTGCTGCAAACACAACGTACACATGACAGTCAATCTCTCCAAACATTCACCCACAGCCCAGAAGCACCAGCAGTTACTCACCAGCAACTTGCAGAGTAAGGGCACTTACACAAGTGGAGCAGCTCTTCAGATGTGTTTTATTCAAAGTGGGATTATTATGTTTCTAGATACCTAACACACAACAATCCATGCTGAAATTTCAGGTTTGTGTAAAGTAATAATTTCCCTCATTTATTACGAGCTTGTCTGAAGAGGAGGGGTATATTTATAGCCAAGATTACAAGCCAGTGGCTGAGCTGAAACCTTGGCAGGCATCCACTGAAGATGTCAGTGATCCACTGAGCTATGTTAACAAAGACAGAGCACAGGGGAAAGAAGTGACCACAGAGGCAGAAATACAGTTGAGAAGCAAAGATCTTGGATTTTGCTAATCTGATTATATAAAACTGCTCATTATAATGGTCTCTATTAAAAACTTTTAAAAGCATAAAACTATTTCTTCATGATATGCCAGTCTAAGTCAAATAACTCTAGATCAAGTCCAGAAGAGCAAATCCAAGACATTTCTATTTATCTGCAACTTTATGAATTGGATTTCAGAATTAAAGGTAATTCTGCTTAGTACCCTAAAATAGCCTGTAGACTAAATTGGTCCCTGAAATGTGATCAGTGTATATATTCATGTTTTTAACTTTCTACATGTGTTAAACAATATTTAAAATTGTGCAGTATTATGGAACTAGTAGAGAAAGAGGACAGCACTGGAGTGTGTAACAGCCCACTAACCTACACAGCTTTAAAAACATGAGAGGCAGGGAAAATTATCTTCCCAGACATTTCACATACAATTAGAACTGTGCACTAAAACAGTAACGCCACACAGATCAAGAAAACCCAGCACTCATCTAAATTCATTCATTTTCATGTTCACTTCCATAAACATTTTTTATTAGCTTACTAACTTGAGTGTTACGAGTCTCCAGTTCCCAGAGATCCCATATTTCAGTGGAAATACACAAATAACAAGGGTAAATAAGGAGATGGACTAGAATCATGAGCAGAACTCCTCCTGAATAAGTGACCCCAAAGTTTGCAGTTTTTCTAGATACATCTATATTAGAGTTCTCTTCATGGATAAAAATCCCATATCTACAGAAATACCAGGTTAAAGTAAAACAATTATTACATCTTAAACTGTTTTTCTTCATACTTTGCTATAGAACACATGATCCCCACTATTGTTAAACTTATTAACTGGTATTCCCAGCTGGTTTAGATTCAAAGCATTCAAGCATGTGACACATGTTCCATTGTCTTTTTACAGATTATTAAACAAAAAATGCTTTAAGAGCCCTGGGAAAAAAGAAAATCCAAACTCAATTTGTATTCAGGATTTGACTTAGAACAATTTTAATCTAAATCAATAGTGCTAAAATTTGGAACATTAAAATAACAGCAATATGCTTAAACATTTCATTGAGTTGTGTTCACTCCATTTCTGTTTGAGACTCTTCCAAAGAAAACAACCCTAGGTTTTACTGAAACAACCATATGATAGAACCAGGGACAGATGGAGAATGAAACTGTGGCAGTGCACTCACAGATGGAAGAGATTGTAGAAGATATAATAAAGATATCTTACACCTCTCTATTTTCAGTAAACAGTAAAATAAGATACCAAAAGGCTATCACTGTTGGTGGTAGAAGTGACAGCTCCTATTTGCAGAACTACACTACAATCTATGCTTGAACCACTTCACATTAAAGCAGTTTAATTTCTGAAATGCCCTCGTTTCTGATTTCCAAGAGATTAGTTTTAGTAACTACTGGGAACAGTGACTTAATCTAAACCAATACCAAATGAATTAGGGGTAGATCCCCAGAAATTCTCTAATCTGATGGCTTTCAAAGGCAGGAATGTCAACAGCACTGACCAAAAAGTTAGACATTCTCAAGAAATTACATAAACAAAGAATTACTTCTTAATTTAAGAGATCATGTTATCCCACATGAGATGAACCAACATGGTAAATTAGTAACTAGTCAGCTACACAACAAAACTAAATACTTGCATTGCACAGGTTATATATTTTAGTGTCATTTTTCTATGTCATTTTCTTAACCATACCCAAGAAATTACTGGGAAAGTGTATGAAGAAGTTCTCTCACAAAACACAATCAAGAAAAAATTAACAAAAGTAAATGTGGCTCAAATTATGTTTACAGTAATGGTTCTGGAAAAAAATTAATTATTAATCTATTTCTTCATAAAAGAGTATTCATACAAATAGGAACACGTAATAGTCTGAATATAGTGAAGCATTAACCAAGAAATCACCATTAGCATTCATTCTAGGCATCTCAGCAATCTTTAGATTATGCAGTATTTTTTTTAAGGAAAAATATATCTATTTGGCTTCTTAACTAAAAATACAGAATTCTGTAAATTTGAACTAAGACTCACTAAGCTTAATTAAGCAAGAAGCTGTAATTTATACAGATATATTTAAATTAAAGCAATGCTACTCAGGTTAATGACATAAACATATGATAAAAACCAATAGTACAAAGTCTGCAGTCCTCTTAATTTTTTCTGAGAGGACAGAACCTCCTGCTTGTACCTTTATCACAGAACAGTACCTCCTGCAATAGTACCAGCTTTTATGCTTCACCTTCCTCTAGAAGGGAATTGTTTTTTCCTGCAGCCTCCTGGACAGATTTTACCTTTACCTACCCAGCTGCATCATTTAGTATTTAGTCTGAGTCCTACATCCTGCCCTTGATTGTATTGTCCTTTATCTGTCAGGGATGATGTCAGGTTTTAAATATTTACAGATGTTTACATCAAGTGTCCAACTCTCCTCCAAAGACCAGAGAAAAGTGAATCCTATCAGCTCTGAACCACATTGGATTACAGTAGTGATCTATATTGAGCAAAACTCTGTTGCCTATAATGCAAGAAACAAATTATAGCATCTCGGGTGGCTTCCAATGGCTCTGCTGAGAGCCACATGTGCTATATATGTGCTACTTGAAAAGCACAAAGGAGCCTAAAGATACTTACTCTTTCTCACACAACTGTCAAACTTCCTTCTCCTTTCTCCTAAAATCTGACAACCATCAACAGGTATCTACTCCTGTGAAATGTTATGTTAACATTCCTCATTAATACAAGTACTTCTGTGGAAGAGCATCTCTGGATGGCAACAGTGCTCATGGTACATCATGATTTCTGTTTGATCTCAGATTTGATGAGACTTGAGCCCCAACTTCGGCTGTGCCTACCTGACAAAGCAGCAAGGACTGGTGGCAGCAGATTTATAGATTAAACTCAAAGCCACTAATGTCCCAACATCCACAAAACACATTTCCCAGACTTTAATTTGTAGTTGTGCTGGTTTTGACTGGAGAATAGTTAACTTTCTTCCCTGGTTAGTGGCTGGTGTGGGCTGTGCTTTGGATGTGTGCTGAACACAGGGCTGACAGCAGAGATGTTTTGTTATTGCTCAGCAGGGCTCGCCCAGAGCCAAGGCCCTTCCTACTCTTCACAGGGCCGTGCTGGTGAGGGCTGTGAGGAGCCCCAGTCAGGACAGGTGACCCCACTGACCACAGGGCTGTTCCAGACCATGTCACATCATGCCCAGCACAAAGTGGGGAGAAGAAAAAGGAAGGGGTGGACATTTGGAGCGACGCCCCTTCTCTTCCCAAGTCAGCGCTGCACGTGGCAGGCCCTGCCCTGCTGAACACCTGCCCACCCCTGGAAAACAGTGAATTTTTTTTGCTTTGCTCGTGTGCACAGCTTCCCCATCCCCTACTCAACTTTTCCATTCCCATTATCTGAACCTGTGAATTTCTAACATCTGCTCTACAGTTCTCTCTCCCAATCCCACTGGAGGGGTAGGGAGTGATCAGCTCTCTGGGGCTTAGCTGCTGGCTGGGGTTAAGCCACAGCAGTGATTTAGTCTCACGGAACATCATACAAAATTATGAAAATTTCATGTTCCATTTCATGATGTACAGCAAAGAATTGTAGCTTGGGATGATCAGGAGATTAATTTCAAAAGCATAACCCATCCAAATTAAAACACTACTGTAGGCATATGCTTTGAATTCTTATTCAAAAAAATCTTCTTATTCTTTACATTCTTAATGTTTGCTTCCTGTAGACCTTACATAATTAATACAATTTCAGAATATCTTTCCTCTCCTTAAAACTTCTTAGCTAGAGGGAAGTGCTCAAGATCTGCTATAATAAATAAAGTGGAATATCTATTTAAGTTGTTGCAGATGTGTTTTTTAACATCTCATTTGCTTTGTTTTGGGGAATGAAATATATCCAAAGCCACTCTGCATATTTTAGTGCAATTGAGTAGTGGCAGTTAATTTTTGGTTTATGTGATCAGTTGCTTAAAGCTCTCCAAAATTGTCCAGCTTTTCAGGAGTTGAAATTGCAATCTGATATTATGCAATTTTAAATTTTTTGCACTGCAGAGTTATACAGAATCACCTTCAGCCAAGATTAGAAATAAAATCAACATTAAACAAATAAACTGCAGTGACCCTAGCACTCTGACAACTGCTATAATATCAAGGGGGTTTGCTAAATGAGATTAATACCTATCCCTGCTAGTAGTACAGTAGATCCATCTTTTTGGAAAGATCAATACAGCAAACAGAAAAAAGTACCACTGTGAGGGGGAGGTGCAGAACATGGAAAGAATTGTTATTTTCCATTACATATTGAACAAGCTATAACACAGAAAGCAGTATGAACAGTTGGATAAACATGCCTTTGTTTTGTCCTTTAGTTTCAAATAAAGTTGAGTCATTTATAAGCCTCCTTTCAGTATCATTTGTTCCAGAGCTGTCTCCTCTGCCAGGCACTTTAGTTACAATAATCTCCTTTGATCAACTAGTTTAACAGGTTTTTCATACAACTGCAAATTATGTCAGTATAATACAAATTATTTTTTATTATTTCTTATTCAAAAGACATAATCCCAGGAGACAGACACATACTCAGTGCTTTGATCACCAATAGAAATGGCAAGAATTGAACTTTCAATTAGTCCTTTTTAAAAATATTTGTCTTAGAAATCTTTAAAAATCAACACTCATTTTAAAATAAAACAGAATATTATTCCTTGGTTTATATTATGAAAGCAGTAACTAATTTCTGATAACAATAAACAGGCTTATGTAATGTATAACTTGGATCATTAAAA